GGTAATGACCAACTAATGTGAAAACGCGACAATTGGTCTTGGTAAAACTGGTAAGAACATTTAATATTTTGTACAGCTTGACTGAAACGATAAAGCGTTAGATATTCAATGCAATCATCTCACTGGGTAGCTACGAGTGCATTCGAAGTATCAGCATTTCAAAGCTTTACGTTGACCCTTATTAACCAACAGCGTTCTGGTATGTTTAATCTAATAAACGGAAAATAGAGGACTTTTGAACAGTCTAATTTCTTACACATTAGTACTGATGCGGATGAAACAATATCTGATATCTGATCATTAAATGTAAATTTGGTATCAAAAATAACTCCTGCATCACTAAATACTGCGTCTCTACTTTATATACTTCACCTAATGTTGTTATATCATATATAATATCACATATTATTTATTAATGAAAACGAGAAATAGCAAGGGTCCTAAATTGGATCCTTGTAGAACTCAGACAGACGTAATTGTATGAAACTTAAAATTTGCGCTGCTAAGTTAAATAGTGTCCAATTTAAGAATTATGACTTTAGAAGATGCAACAGTGAGGCTGATAAATCTTCCTACTTTGCCAACAACAAATCAAAGATCACTCTCTCCTTGCAACCAAACGTACTATGCACGAACTAAGTAAAACAGTCTAAATTAATGACAGTAGACCTACCAACCCTGACACAGAGCTACATATTGTATTTCGGACGATTGTTTCATGCAGCTTATAGCATAAAATAGATATTTGATCCTGGATAATAATAATGAAATCGAATAATACTATTTTTTGTCGTTTTCCAAACTTTAGGATAGCATAATAACATTGATACAACAAACCTATATTGGTTTTGGCAATTAGTTATTTAGCTATGACTGATTTGTGTAAAAGTACGCAAATTTACAATGTGAGCAGATTAGCTTCTTTTTATATATTTGCTGACATTTCTCCCTCTCAATCTCGCAAATGACTATACCAAGTTTGATGAGACTTGAGGAGCTGTGGGGTCATAGAAGCTACAGCTAGTTCATTTTTGAGAATTGGCTTAACTACAACGGGGTTATGATCAAAAATTGGAAAAGATGAAAAGCTTCAAATCATTCCATAATATCATTTTCAAGTTTAACAGTTTTCTAATCATGTTGGGCATAGTCATTTTGAAATGGTCCATTTTCCGAAATTTGTTTCAACTGATTTTCAAGTTTCTGACTAAAGTGCTTTTACAATTTTTTTGGAATCCACAAGTATTCGGAATATGGCAATGCTTACTTTGCGAGTCAAAGTTCATTATCGAATCTTTGTTTGTTATACTAGTCTAGAAGTTTTTTGTTTTTTTTTATTCCACAAATACGCCGTGCATGTATTCTCTCTGTGACGTGTTATATGATGTATATATTCTGTTTCAGATATAAAAGCCAAAAATGAGTTCTACCCCCACCATCATCACGACCTACGCCGTTGTAAACGCAGTTATGAGACGCGAAAGGGTAAGGACGACATCCCAGTCGGAGAAAACTCCCTTAAGACAGCAGGAGGGGAACAAGGAGCAGTTTTTCTGACAGAAAACGCCACTGTCGTTGTGGCACAGACCAGTGGAACGGCGAAACTGCCTTGCGTGGTTCGAAAGCTCAGCAATGGAGTGGTGAGTTTATACATTATTTTCCATACAAAAGCTATAGAAGCGAAAAAGACACTTAATTTGGGACAGTTGCAGAACCAGCACAAAAATGTTGCGGTTAAATCATTAACTAGTCGATAGGGTTATCCTTTTCTTCCAAAATCGCCAGAGATTGCTGCAATTTTTACTTCCCACGCCTAATGACGTATTGTAATCGCGAAAATGTCGGTCTGTCCACTAATCTTGAAAAGTACTTCTTTGATTCCTAAGAGATTTTTGAGAGTTTTTGAAAATCAGTCAAGTGACGACAGAGAAAAAGGCCTACAACAGAAAATTAAAAATCGCCTATATTTTTTATCGTTTCAGAGAATCCCTGCAAGTTATTCCATTTGCATAAATGATTTATATAATGCATCCCACTTAACACAAATGTTTGGCTCATTTAACTTAAGATAGATGGACTATCGTACAGAGTATAAAATGAGGACGAAAATCCACTGAAGCCAATGCGTGGGTTTTCAATTAAATGTGCCAGATACCTCGTGGAAATAATTTTCTGTAGATTTAACTGAGATTCACCATTGTGATTATAAGGTCATTTTAGTTAAACTAATTTCCAGCAGGGTCTATCAGGGGTCCGTGTCTCCGCACGATTTATGCTGTGTTCTATGAATCAAACGGATTTTCAGCAATAGTCTTATTTTATCTCATTCTTAATTTGTTTCTATACAAGTTGCTTTCTAAAATACCTTAATTTAATTTTCATACAACTATCTAAAACCTGTTGTGCTATTACCTCCAGTCTTTGCTTTTAACAGATTGTGGCAAGCTTAATACCGAAACGTGTAGCGACTCATCCAATTTCAACTTTAAAGTTAAAATATACATACATATAACCTCTGTCCTGTAGCGATATGCTCCAAAAGGCAACGATAACCCGCGTTAAAATATTCATGAAATATAAACTGAGGCACCGAGCTAATCTTTAAAACACTCTCAGATTTCCATCATTATGGTCTGTTTAATTAATAAAAGCTCTATCTAACAAAGTTCTTATGGAATTTGGATTGTTATAGCTGTTCTGAATTTCATATACCTAAGAAGAGTACGAGCATCGAGATCTATATATAGTAAAAGTTTGCACTTAAACGGCAGAAGTTGAACTGAATTTTGTAACACTGAAAACCAGGTGAGAGTTCGGTACGATAATTTCCTCAGATCTAATTTAGTCGGTAGTAGCACAATGATATTAATGTCCATACTTTAAATATAAGTGTAATGAGTTATATTAAGCCTCATTTATAATCTCATTCTTCTCTTCATAATCCACATTATATCTACGAGTATAAATATAAGGCTGGAACGCTGTTATCAGTTCATAGGTTTATAACAATAAAATTACATGTCTTACCAAAAAATCATTCTCATTATATTTAATATACGATATAGATCGTCTTGCAGTGAGATGCTTGTTAAGCACAAAATAGTTATATATATATAACAAAATAATAGGAAAATAATGGGCAAGATCCACAAAAAGAAGGAACGTGGATTCGAACAGAAAATAGGATATGTAACCCGAGCGATACGTATTTCTGCTGGTTGGCTTCATCAGGCCCGAAATAATTGCACATATGTAACTACACTAATAGATACACATGCCCATACATCCGGATACGGGTGTAACCTGAGGAAACGGAGATGGCGAGGAAAAAACCACACACTAAGTCCACAACAAGAGCCAACCTACACATTGTAGTATAAAATGGCTAGAAGACCTCGAATTTTCAAGGCGACATCTAACCACAACCACGCGGCCCGTTATAGCCACTTGTTGTGGTACTTCGAGCCCAAAGGATCTACAAAGGGAACGTGATCATGCGGAGAAAGGTATATAACAAAAAAAAATAGGAAAATAATGGGCAAAATCTGCAAAAAGAAGGAACGTGGATATGTTATTTTCTGCTCGAATCCACGTTTGTGGTTAGCGTTTTTTATGACTTTGGTGAATTTGTCACATTGCACAATGCGTTTGGTAGATCTTAATAAATAATTAATTGCCATGCGTGTATGCACCATATTCTTTTTATGTTTTCATTTTTGTTTGTATTGTACTTCATTTTATCTAGATCTAACTGGATCAATAAATGAATATTAATTTGAATCTGGTGAATCAAAACAGCCATACAATTGGTCCATATGAATTTTTTCCCGTCCTACCGACAGTACCGGCCGTCTGCCAATGTCGCTATGACTAACCTACAATTTGGGTAGATTTGAGCATATTCCGATGAAGATTGTGGAATTTCAAATAAACTATACAGTTCCTGACTTTAGAAGATCACCCTATCAAGAAATACGTATTGAAATGTATGTTTATCTGTTTGAACTTTAAGATCCAACTCTGCTGATAAGTCTAGAAGACAAGCGCAACGTTTCAAAGTCTGTAAATATTACAATCATATGGATTGCATTCTGATTTTTTGCTATGTACCTAAGTGGGTGGTAGGGACCGGGATTCACATGTGTCAACTTGCTATATTTCATACTATTTCACACTAAGTTTTCATGTAAGAACTTTCTAATTTACAAAATAAGTCGCAATACAGCATGTAGCGTAGTAAACTGTAAGGAGAATTAAAAAACAAAACGAGCAAACTTTATACGTTTCCTACAGCAACATGGAGGAAATTAAAGCAAAGAAACAAGTGGATATACGCTTTAAAGAGGAAAAAGTAATCAACATAACCTAGTATGCTATTTGTAAATACATTTCATTTTTACTGTGGCCTTATTTCAAGAGTTTTCATTACGTCAAACACCACAACAAATTACAGCTGATTATATATAAAGCACCTTCTCAAAGTATCCCATATAGACAAGTGACATGCAATTTCGATGGACCCGACAACCCTAGTTTTATATGCAGAGTCGTTATTGTTGAGGTGTTTTGTACGCTATGGATTTATAGTTCCTAACGACGCTTTTGCTTAGGAAAGTACCTTTGCACCTAAAAAAAACGCTACAAGTAAAATGGCTGCTAATTATGATACGCTGTGTTTTATTATGTCTGCTATGAACAGTTCTGAATACGGCTTTGCCCGATTCTCACATCTGTCGTTACCAACACTACAGGGTTCAATACAAAGATGTTACTTGCTGACCAGCTGTTGACCTTAGCAGACATCAGAACCTAATGGATACTCTAAAAAAGACTATACAACCGCTTATCAAATTTTATCCAGAGAACATAATGCAACCTTCAATGTAAACTGTCCAGTATGCGATGTCAAAAGACACTGTGCTTTCCACTATACTATCTGCCGAAGTTGGGCATTTACATAAGTATGAATATTTTTCCTAAATTTTGCAAATGCCACGCAACTAAGTGTCAGGTCGTCTACAAGATGTTTCAGCTAGACTCCCAGTTTTGGATCGCAACAGTGTCTGAAGAAATGTTAATTTATAAAACTTAGAACATTTTCAATACACTGGATAAGAAAAGTGTTAAAGTAAAAAGACAGTTTTCAATAATGACTGTCTCTAAAGGGAATTTGAAATTTTGAAGAAAACTTGAATAGCGAGTACATAGGTTATAAAAATATGCTAAAAAATCATCCAAAATAGCAAATATCATACAAATTTCTTATTTGCTGCATTTCTTCACCATTTTTATAACCTACTACCCAAAGAAAGTGTCTACTGTGACGGAGAATCAAATACTGTGCCAAATCCTAGATACATTTAATTATTTTTTGTAAGGAGTTTGTGTCACAGGTGTTTGTCTAATGATCAGAACGCTTATTACGTAGCTTTGTCCGTTGTCCGTTCATCCTAAGGTTTTCAACGTCTCTTACATGCTGTGCCAACACTATTTCCCTTATTTTTGTATAACTTGAGGTTGGAAGTTTAAATCATGTCTTACGGATTCAAATCACATTCATTTTCGGCTCAGGTACGCAAATTGATTAGTTTAATATGCGCCACAACCTTTTTTAAGTGCTTTCATTTGGTTTTATTTACTTCCAATGAAAAAGAAGTCGAAATTTTTTTTCGAATCATCTAAGAATTGATAGGCCAGGATAATTATGATAACTAGGCGACAGTGTAATCGCGCCCACAGCAAATTAATACTTTACAGATGCGTATATTAAAAAGTTTGAAGTGCTTATGTACGATGACGGCCTAAAATGTGTATATCGAATTACCGGAACTGAAATGGTATAAAAATTCTAACGCCAAAAATTGAAAACTTCCTCAATCCCGTATAGCCCAAAACCACCAATTTATAACCCCTACACGGTACTTTCCAAGTCATACACGAGCCAAGGACTAGCGGACAGACAGACCAACGGAAAAGAGTGGCATGGTTTTTAGTGATGTGGATATCATCAAAGACACCTTATTATTATTAGATAACGTAAAATCTCATTTTCGAAATTTTTCTGGATTACATGCTTCCTCGCTGAAAGTTAAAGTGTACATCAATCACATCATTGAGAGGTATCATCCCATTTTTTAAATATTTATGATGTTGTTTCAAGCTTTGGATCTATGAAAAAAGTTTTGTTCCGCATTTATTTTTCAAATCACTAACTACTATCCAACGTTGGAATCGCGAGTTAGGACGGGAGCTTGAGACGATGAGTTTTTAAAAAAAACTCAAAATACTTGTTTTCAGACCCAACTAACAAAATTTTTATTAAGAAGAATTACAGAGTTGATTGCAGCAAAAGCAAAGTGAATCTGAATAACAATGCAAGTGTGTGTCTAAGATAAGAATGGAAAAAGCTGATGCAGCGTCTTCTTTCTTCGAACCTATGCATTTCCAGTGGCGTAACTCGCGGAAGAAACATTTTGAAAATGGTGAATGGGCCGTGTATCCTACACCGTACGCGTCCACCATCATTTGAAATGACTTTCCTAATTATGGGGAAGGATTGAAAATTTCATATTTGGATGATTTGAGTGGAATGTCGATTATACGTCTAGATATTTGGTCCCATAGTTGCTCCAAATACTCTAGGCATGCAAAAACTTACGCAGCTGAAGTCGAAGCGTGGATAAAGTGCTGTGATTTATGAATGAAAATCGGCAATTACCGACTTGCACCTATACAGGGTGGACTCGACTAACGGCATTCACATCCAATAACTTACTTACTAGATTCTTGTTACCTTATCCCAGTGCCCGAAGTTAAACAACATATCAGAGACCTCGATGTCTCTTACCCAACGGACTACACACAGCCGAGCAAGCACAAAAGTGCTGTAATCAGAATTAATTCGTAAATTTAGAACAACAAAGTTGGAACATTTTGACAAAATCCTTACCAAAATCAAATAATCTTAGACCAATTCAAAATCTATCAAGTGATTTTAACAATGCCTGAACGCTCTGTCCTAAAAGATTATCTTCTTCTTCTTCTCTCTTTTCATTCCCTCGTTCCTTTGCTTTCTTTCTTTGCTTTTTTGGTTAGAATTGTCTGATTTCTGGGTTACTAGACCTGACGGACTTGTAAACTGACACTACGGCATAAGAGCTGAGGTCCCGTGGAGCGCTCTAACAACCAACGATGACTTGGTTTACGACAAATACAAAATATTAATTTAAAAGCACGTTGCTCTCAAGAACGGGAAGAACCGGTCCTGTTTGCTATTGTTCCCTTGGCACAAGGAATGCAGCTTTGAGCTTATCGACTTTCACACCATTCTGGAGTTTTCTTTTCTCATTCCTATGTATCCCATATACTTCCCTTTATTCGAATGCCTGCAAAAGACAGCTTGGGAAGTCGGCGTTTTGTAAAACTTTTAATGAGTTTTCCTAACTATATATTTTCAGACTTGAATGCTCCCAGATTGAAATGAAATAAATTAAGGCAATTATACGATTCACATCAGATGCTAAACGAATCGTTGAAAGCAACTTGATTTTATTACGACTGAAAATGAGTTTTTATATTTGGAAAATGAGAAATTATTACGGTGATATTTTTCTAAGGAAATTGTTTTCTGTAGAATGCAATTCTGTCTCGTTCAAGCAAACGGTAATGCAATGGAATTAGTATATTTTGGGCGAATGATCAAAGTTAATAGGCTTAACAATACTTAATTTTTTTAGTCCAGTAGAAGTATTAATTGACAGACCGTAAAGTGATCAGAAACTTTATCAATAGAGAAAAGCAGCGACACTTATCAGTGGCGATAAAACAAGTTCTGAAATGTTTTCCATACTAACCGATATTTATTCAATATATTCTATTGTGCCGCACAGGTATTGCGTATCTTGAAAAATGACATTTTGTAGTTTTTTTGTAAAATAACGTGGGTTTTCTACAAGTCTGATGACTTAGCACTAGCTGTTGTAGACTTCTTTTGAACTCGTTTTGTAGGTGTTGCCCAAACGGCTATAAATTATTTATTAGGATCTATCAGAAGCATTTTCGAATGTGACAAATTCACCCAGGTCATAAAAAGTGCAATCCAATAGCTTGTTCCGCAAACGTCTTTTGAAAAGCCCTATACTATATATACTAAGTGACATATAAATCCGAACACACAGTTTAAATGGTTTTATTTTAATAAAATTTTGTATAAGTACTTAATGAAGCATAATAAGTAAATGATAAAAATTTCAAAACGATTGCACTGCTTTAAAGCCCTTTGACATTTAATAATGTGTGGATGCACCCTGATGTGCTACGCATTCTCCAACGCGCCTAGCGTTAAAGGGAGGACCCAGTGTGGCCGTTATGAAAACAAGCCAAAACTTCTCATTCGTCGGTAAACACTTCGCATGCCAATAGGTCTTCCGTGTTCTGCACACCATTCATTTGCAATGGACCTGGTAGTGGAGAAACGGTCCCTCAAGGCCAATAATCTTAGACGGCGATCTTCACGGTCTGTTGTTCTACGGCGGCGTCCAGTGTCCCTTGCTCTTTGCTTACGGCCTTCTCAAAGCCATGCCTGACAACACCTAACTACAGTGTCTACACTTCTTTGCACTCTAACTGCAATTGCCCGAAAAGAAAGTCCAGCTTCCCGAAGTCCCACTATACGGCCCCTATCAAACTCACTAAGTTGATGAAATCGTACAGGTCTCCGTACTCTAGGCATCGTAACCGATCGCAAAGGATGTCAAGAACCAAATTCCGCCAACGTTGATTCTTTACTGCGGCTGAAATATTCATTTTTAGAGCGTTAGTGAATTAAAAAAAGCAGTATAAAAACCGGAATGTCCAACTGATAAGGCTGAAAATTTTTTCACTTGTTATTTACAGTAAGATAAATACATTCACCAACTTTTATTAAAATAAAACCATTTAAACTGGGTGTTCGGATTTATATGTCGCTTAGTATATATATATATATATATAAAACTATCAAAACTGTTCATTAACAATGGTTATCCGAAGTGTCTGATTAACAAGATCTTATTTAGCTCACCTCCCAGTATTTTGCCAAACTCTAATGATACAAGTAATAGTCTCACAACCTCTAATAACAGAACTGATAGAATTCCCAACAACAACACCAATTCAAACAATACAACCACCATCCCAAATTCCAGACCTGGTTTTGCTGTCTTACCCTATATCAAGGAACTGACCCCTAAGCTGATCAGATTATGCAGTCCTTTGAACTGTCGAATTGCTTGCAAATCCGTCCTCACTATAAACTGCATTTTTTCAAAAATGAAAGACAGAGTCCCGCTGCTTGGCTTAACCAACACAGTCTACTCTATCAATTGCAACAATTGCAACCAAATATACATAGGTCAGACCTCCAGATCTCTTAAAGGAAGGATTACATCACACAAAAGTGATTCTACGCTTCATCCTGAAAGATGCGCTCTAGCATCTCATGTTAACACAACAGGGTACTCTATGAACTACTCAAGTATCAAAGTTCTCGATAAAGAAAAATACCTATCCAAACGTTTATTCCTGGAAATGTCCCACATTTTCATGAATAACAACTGTATCAATAAAAAGACAGATGTTAAGCAACTGCGTGTCATTTACTCATATTTGCTAAACTGCGAAAAATTGGAGCACTTACACATCTCCCCAAATTTCCACCAATAAGCTTCATTCCATTCAAATTTTAATAATTTTATCCTCACGATTTAATAATAATTGTTAATTTAATTGCCCATTAATAAAGTATAGTCAATTCAACTGCCTCTGGTCGGTTTGACAATTTCTTACATAACACATTTGGAAAATCACATCATCTTCAGTGATTTGGCAACGTATCACATGCCCACAAAATAATTTGTTCCATCTTTCTACACAGACACTGACACCCTTCGGCCTTCTGTCAAAGGGTTCGTCTTACTCACTATTCCATGCCCACCATTTTGTGCAATCATCAAGTGGCTTCACGATGTAATGCTTTCATGTTCTAAAAATTTTTAATCTGTTTTTAACTTGTTCTTGTCACACA